ATGCTGGAGTTTCATCCAGCTTTGTTCGATGAGCCTTTGGAAACCGGTACATAGAAATCCGAAAAAAGCAGTTTGCAGTATGTTGTTTTATATTATAATAAACAAACAAAAATATCCGTCTAGACAGGTATATGTTGCAGTTAATTACCTTTAGAGGGTTTCTATCTCAACAACTGGTGATACACAGCGCAGCACATATATATATATATATATAATGCTACACGCTGTCTAAGCGTTAATGCAACCATGCATGGTCATTGTGAATGCTGCGCTGAGTATCACCAGTCGTGGAGGTAGAAACCGTGTAAAGATAATTAAGTGCACCATATACCTGTCTATATATATATATATATATATATATATATATATATATCGAAACTGCCACTTTTCTTTTATTAGTATATGCTGCCTACATTGACTTTAAAACTGAACTTCGCAGTGCATTCAGTCGTTAGGGCAGTGTACTTGGTTGATTGCCTTGCACTGCGCTGCCTTCCCGCGGTAGTACTTTAGTACGGGTAGTCTGCTGGAATGATAAAGAGTTTGATTCTTTTCTCTATTCATCAGTATACTCCGCTTTCAATTACAGCACACTCCAGCGGACGTTACTAGCTATCGCCCAGCCAATTCAGCGTGTCAAGTGGAATCACATGACTTTGCGGCTCTAGAAAATCACATGGCACAAACAATGCGTTTTATTGACATGCAGGGCTCTCAGCGTCCGCTGTGGTTCATGGGAAGGTAGAACTGAGCATAATAAAGGGCGGCTTTACGAAATCTTACGACCCTACCTACAGCGGGCGTTGAAAGGGGGACAGAAGAGATTATGTCTAAAAAAAAAGATAAAAGAAGAAAAAGTGGTAAGCTTGGTAGCGTCATTGGACCAAGGTTGTGCCGCTGCACATCGGGAGACGTTTTACACCAGGCAGTGGAAGGTTCTGCGCAGATTCGAGAATGGGACTCCGCAGATGGGTTGTATCTCCTTTCCCAATCACATATGCAGCACGGGCGTAGAGACCCATATGAGGTGACGAAAGTGACAAAAGAACAAGAAAAAAACAATTTTTATTAATTTTCAGTTTTTTTTTGGTATTGATCACATGCTTACATAGCAATATCTGAAGGTGCACAGACAATCGCTCAAGCTGCCATGTTTACGGCATATGTTTATTCTTTTAAAAATAAAACATAAGTAGCAAATTAAACAACTAGTGTTATTCGGGATAACCGGTCTTTAAGCACAGCCATTTTTTTTCAATATTAACGAACTTCTACTAATCAGCGTATTTAGAATATCCTACCGAAATTTCGGCGTGTACAAAGAAATAGCGTCGACAGCACGCGACAGTCCAAAACAGGCATGAAAACTAGTAACGACATTTGTTTTTGCTCCCGCAAGGCGTTTCTCTACTCCACTATAAATATATCTAGCATTCTGTTTACTATGAAACATGACAACACCGGGGACGCACGCAAATGTGAGTGACCACATAGCTATTCATGACCTACGACCTTTTGTGTCCGGACATTTCTTTTTCTACGAAAACTATTTCTGGATTTGTTCATACTATGAATGTGACGATGACGTAAAGGTATCCAGTGAATTGAAAATGTCAACCATTTACCCACTGAGGTGTCATACAGACGCGCCGTGACGTCACCTCCCCCGCCCCCCTATGGTGGCTATCGCTTATCTATAAACGCGCTGGGAACGAGAAGCTCAGTGTTCTTCATACGACCGCGCTTGCCGAATAAACATGTTGCGTTAGTCGCTCTGTCTCCTGCCTCGTCCACTGCGGCTACAGCATAAATGGCGACGAGGATGGGATTCCTGTCGGGTTGAAAAAGGCCACTAGCAGCGTGTCTGGAGCGTGCCGCGACGAGACGCCGGGATGACAAAGGTTGGAAGCTTGGACCAGTTCGTCGAGGACGGCGACGAGGACTTCGAGTCCTACGTGGAGAGGTTTGAACACTTCCTGAAGGCCTCCAAGGTGAGCGACGACCTCAAGGTCTCAGCGTTCATAACGGCAATAGGAAAAAAAGCTTACAAAACCCTGAAAAATTTGCTCGAGCCGGTAAAGCCTGAATGCAAGATCTACGCCCAACTGGTGCAAGCGTTGCAGCGACATTACTCACCGAAGCCTCTAGTTATAGCGAAGCGGTTCAAGTTTAACCGTCGTTTCCAGCAAGAGGGCGAATCAGTGGCAGCTTTTGCAGTAGAGCTGAAGCGATTACCTGCGTCATGCCTCTTCGGTGCATTTCTGGACGACGCCCTTCGGGATCGTTTTGTCGCCGTGCTGAGCGACCGAGAAACCCAAGCGCAGTTGCTAAAAAAGAGCACGTTAACGTTCGCAAATGCCGGCGATATCGCAAAGAATATTGAGCTCGCACGCAAAGAAAGCAATGCATTTCAGCCCCGTCATGCCCAGGGGACAGTCAGCGCGCTGCGCCAGAAGCCAGACAGCGGGAGACGCCTACAGCGACGGGAGAAATCGTCTGCTACGGCCTAACCATCGAGAGCAAGAGGGTTGGAATCATCGGACTGTTTCCGGTGCGGCTCAGCGCATGAGTCGTCTACCTGCAAATATCTCAAGTGTCGCTGTCGTTCTTGTAAGCGTTACGGACACTTGGCGAAAATGTGCAGGGGTGGGGCTGGAGACTCCGCGAGCGTAGTGGTGGAAGACAGTGACTGGGACGAAGTGGTGCTGTACAATGTCTATTCTTGCGACGGGCGCTCAGGACATTACGAAATTTTCTTGAAAGTAGCCCAGAAGAATGTTCGCGTGCAGATAGACATGGGCACGTCGGTGTCAATTGTACCGCAAGCATTGTACAAGAAGTACTGGCCCTCTCTACCCTTAGAGCCAGGCCCCGTGAAGCTAAAAACGTACGGCGGAACACCACTTACAGTGGCTGGGAAGCTTTCTGTTCTCGTCGAGCATAACGGTGAGCGCGAGCATCTACCATTGATTGTCGTGAAGACACGCGACAATAGCAACACCGCGTTGCTGAGACGTGATTGGCTGGTGGCTCTGAAGTTAGACTGGACTAGTGTGCATGGAGTGTGCCTAGACAAAGTGGCGGCGCTGCTTGAAAAGTATGCTAAGGTTTTTGAGCCTACGCTAGTACAGATCAAGGGCAGCCCGATCAAACTGGTTCTGAAAGAGGGTAGCACACCGGCATTTTGCAAAGCCCGACAAGTGCCGTTCGCGTTGAGGGAAGCCGTGTCCCTAGAGCTGCAGTCACTCGTAAAAACAGGCGTTCTTGTACCTGTACAGCAAAGCGACTGGGCTACACCCCTTGTAGTTGTACCACAACCGAACAACCATTCGGGGTGTGTGGTGATTTCAAAGTGACGCTGAATCTGTGCCTACGTACGGATCATTACCCCCTTCCTGTTATGGAAGATTTATTTGTAATGATGTCGGGGTGCTGGTATTTCACGGTTCTTGACCTCTCCACTGCCTATCAGCAGCTCGCACTGCATCCCGAAGCACAGTCTTTAGTCGTTGTCAACACACACCAGGGACAGTTCAAGTACACGCGCTTACCCTACAGCATCACGAGTGCGCCTTCGATCTTTCAAGCAGTAATGGATGACGTGTTAAAAGGGCTGGACCGCGTATCTTGCTATTTAGATGACGTTCTGATAGCCGGGTCCACTCTTGAAAAGTGTTTCGAGAAAGTAGAAAGTGTCCTTTCACGGTTCCAGGAAAGAGGCATACGATTGAAGAAAGAAAAACGCTAGTTCTTTCAAACGTCTGTCTCCTACCTTGGGCACATTCTTGATGAGAAAGGCATAAGGCAATCAGATGGAAACGTAAAAGCGATAAGAGGCGCCTACTCCAAAGGATGAAACCCACTTGCGAGCCTACCTTGGGTTGTTAAACCTTTATCGGAAGTTTGTTCCTAACATGGCTGCCATGCTGAAGCCGCTGTACAATGTGCTGAATCACGAAAAAGAGTTTTAGTGGTCACATGCAGCGGAGCAGGCCTTCCAGCAAAGTAAAACTTGGCTCACAAAAGGAAACGTTTTGACGTACTACGACCCAACAAAAGAGCTTGGACTGGTGTGTGATGCGTCGCCTTACGGCGTGAGTGCCATTCTGTTCCACAAGATCGTAAAAGATGAAAAGCCAATCGCTTACGCGTCCAGAGCATTAAGCACAGCTGAGCAAGGTTATGCTTACATCGAAAAAGAGGCCCTTGCTGTGGAATTTGGCCTCAAAAAAGTTTCATAAGTACTTGTTTGGGCGCAGCTTTGTCGTCTATTCCGATCAGCAGCCACTAGCCTGGTCTTTTGGGTAACGGCAAACCCGTTCCAGTGATGTCAGCTGCCCGCATGCAACGCTGTGCTTTATTGCTCGCGGCGTACAACTACCGGTGGGTGTATCGCAAGGGCAGCGATGTTGGAAACGCTGACGCACTATCACGGTTGCCGCTAGCTAATGAGAAAGATGTTTCATATTACGTACACTTCTTCTCACTTGTTGATGAAGTGCCATTATCTGCTGTCGATATCCAGAAAGGCACACGCACTGACAGTGTGCTGTCAAAAGGGCTGATGTAGGATGCACGGTTGGCCTGCGCATGTAACTGACAGCGAGCTGACAGCGTACTTTCTTAAGCGACATGAAGTGTCGGTAGACCAACAGTGTGTCACGTAGGAACAAGTGTGATAATTCCTCAAAACTTGCGTAAACAAGTGGTGCATCTGTTGTCTGAAAGACACCCGGGTATGACGCGCATGAAAATGCTCGCCTGTAGCTATGTTTCGTGGCCTCAGCTAACACAAGACATTGAACATCTTGTCAGAAGCTGCAGTACGTGCCAGTTGACGCAAAATGCTCCACCCAGTGCTCCACTACAAACGTGGGGTTGGCCGACTCGCAGATGACAGCGAATTCACCTAGATTTTGCTTTCACGAACAACCAGTGGTTGTTGGTGCTTGTTGACGCCCATTCGAAGTGGGTAGAGGTGTTTGTGATGGACGTCAACAACAGCGGGCAAGACCATTGAAAAGCTGCGGTGTGTCTTCGCATCGTATGGGCTTCCGGAAGAAGTGGTTACGGCCAACGGGCCCCAATTTACCGCAAGGACCTTCGCGGACTTCTTGCAGAAGAACGGAGTGCGTCATACAAGGACTCCACCATACCATCCGGCCTCGAACGGGAGCGCCGAGCGCTGTGTGGAGACAGTAAAGCGAAACCTGCTGCGCCAGCTTCTCGAGGAGAGAAAAACAGATATCAAGAAGCCCTTACAGCATCGGGTCGACCTGTTCCTCTTCAGGTATCGGAACACGCCTACCGCTACTGCGGGGCAGACACCTGCGGAGCTGTTTCTCTCGTGGAAACCTCGCACACGCCTGAGCCTTCTGCAACCAAGCCTGGAGGGTCGCACGCACGAGCGGTTCTCCAGGGCGAAGAAGACAGCAGACGAACGAAGAGGCCCGTGGAGATCGTTCGAAGTGCAAGCACGTGTTCTAGTACAAGGTCTTCGTCCTGGTGACGCGAAGTGGTTGCCTGGCGTTGTAGAAAAGTGGTGCAGTGCTTCCACCTATATCGTTTGTGTGAATCAGGAAAACAGGTTTGTGCATGCAGACAATTTACGTCCATGTTCTTATGAAAGTGCCGAAACTGTGCCAAGTGTGTTTCCGTGTCCGGTTCCAAGTTCAATTGCAGACTTTATGTCGGAGCCATCCACCACGAGGTCTCCCCTGCCAACGACGGAGACCCCGAGCCCCACAGCACCAACACCTGAGCCACCTGAAGATGCGCCTTCTTCAGAACAGCAGGGTGCAAGTCCGCACCCAAGTTGTACATCACAGTCACCGCATCGAGCTGCTGCGTCGCCTCAACAGCCAGAAACTCTACGACGCAGTGCCCGTACTAAGAAGCCCCCTGATTGGTACAGACCGTAGACTGTGTAACGCAATTAGGGGGAAGGAATGTGGCGTCATGCAGACGCGCCGTGACGTCACCCCCCCCCCCCCCCCGCCCTTATCGTGGCTATCGCTTATCTATAAAAGCGCTGGGAACGCGCAGCTCTGTGTTCTTGATACGGCCGCGCTTGCCGAATAAACATGTTGCGTTAGTTGCTCTGCCTCCTGCCTCGTCCACTGGGGCTGCAACACCCACTGGTACATCATATGTCAAATAACATAACACCTTGGTTTTGGGTGATTGAATCCTTCCGTTGAGGGGTGTAAAAATTACCCGATTCGCGCTGACGGTAAAAAAACAACAACAGATGACTTGCTTGGTGGCGCAGGGCTGGTTCAATGACGAGACATTACACTTCACTGCTTCGTCGTTTTTTTTTTAGACACTATTTGTTGTTGCTTGCTTACCTCGATCCACCGGTCGAGAATATATTTCGTAATGGTGCCTGTACTTATACTCCGTTTAACGTTTTGGGCGCAGTGATGCGTTGTCGCGTTGAACTTGCTGATATTGCTCGTGACGTCCGCTACAGTTCATCATAATTTGAAAAGGCGTTTATTGATTTCTAGATAAATTAGGAGGTTATTTTTCTTCTCAGCAGACTACCCATGTTAAAGCTCTACCTCGGAAGGTAGTGCAGAAAAGCGCAGTCAGCCATGTACAAATCCCTTAGGATCCGAACGCACAGAAAAGTTCAGTTTCCGTAGTTAATATCAGCCGCATCACTAAAAAAAGCTAACAGGGTTTTTGTATAATGCTCCACAGTGTCTGGGAGTTATTGCGACCAGGCATGGCCATTGTAGATTCTGTGCTCAGTATCACCAGTCGTTGAGACAGACACTCTCCAACGGTAATTGAGAGCAACAGAGACCTGTCGACGTTTATTATTGTTTATTTGTTTAATTTAAAACGGTACAATGCAACATGTCTTTGCGGATTTCGAATTACTGGTTTTCAAGTTTTTATCGAGGGATGTTTGGAAAAAATCGAGGACTTTTTTTTATTGCCTTGCCCAATTTGCTTAATTTGCAATGGTTGCAGGCGATACCAAAGCATCGCTCTCCAACGACCTCCACAGCGTTGCTTAGAGCCACTACTTTTTTTTTTACTCCAATTAACTATTTTGGGAATGATACAATAACTCTTAATTTTTCCTCTTTGTTTAATGAGCTGTTTCTTAAAAAGGGAATAACATTATGTGTGCGTGGAGGTGTAATAATTAACGTATAAATATCCTCGTGCTTGAAGGAGCTGGCATGTCACGTGACTGCCGTCACAGAAACGAGGCTTGAATCAGTGTTGTATACGTTACCGATGAAAAGGAACGATATACGTCAATCGTTACATGCAATTAAAACAAACGCGCTTCCAACCAACGCTAGCTCGGATAAAAACACGCGTTACCGTTACCTTTCTAAACAAAAGTAACTTATGTTACTTTCGTGTTACTTTTTTAAATATGAAATAAACATTTTACTCTTTTTGACTTTACAGGTCCGCATAAGCGCCATATTTCAAGAAGCGTTATGTCCATCCACAGACTGAACGTAATTACCTTTTCTTTTTTTACGGCTGCACCCAAAGAAGTAACAAAAAGGCAAAAAGCTTTAACTTATCTAAGGTTTGGCGCCAAGAAACACAAAAAATATAAGTGTGATTTGTTTTTTGTTTATGTAAGATTATTTATTTATTTATTTATTTGTCCAGTGTCCAGAAGCAGCCGAGGTCCTAGATCTGGTACACACTCACACACGACATACACTTAAATAAAAAAAGAAAACACGTACACATAATGGCCAAACGCATATAACACCCGAAGACTGATAGTAGTTAATATGAATGGTTAGTGCGCTTTTAAAATCTCACTCACTCCCGAAAACGTCAACCATCGCGCTCAGTGCATGAAAATTGCTTCGAATTCGTAAAATTCTGGGGAATGAATATATCTCTTGCACGTAAAACGTGTTGTGGTGTCGACAGTTTACTCGAAGGACATGCATAGAAAGCAAATCAGCAAGCCTAGGGTAACGTAATCTACTATTCACAGTTTTATACAAAAATACATAATCACGAAAACTGCGACGAGCCTCCAGTAATTGCAAGTTTAGTCGATCCAACACTGACTCGTAAACAATGCGTGGCAGCTTTCTCTGCACACGCTCTAGGCCACCAGAGTCGGTCACAGCCAGTCAGTTTCAAACTTCAGAGCCAAACTACAGTTTTGAGCGCGCAATCGATGTGTAAATCCTGACGAGACGGGATGGCTCTGTGAAATAAGATAAGTTTATTTGATTTCAGAAAAATCTCTAATACAATCCAGCCCGCTTAAGCGTAGGTACGCTTGTATGCGGGACATGGCAGTACAGACATTTTCATCATGTGGACACAAATGATGGTTAAATGTAAGTAAAACATGAAAGAAACATTCGAAATAGCACAGTAAACAAGGAATTTTACAAGTAGATAATTCTCCTGTGAACTAAAACCCAGTTCGACAATAACAATCAATCAATGGTTACAAAAGAAACATTGTGAATTTCAACACATAATGACAAGAATCAACACGTATGCAACGAGATGCACTCGATAGAAAACACTAAGCTTTTACATAATACCTCATTGTTCAGAATTTCAGTTTAACAAAAAACACCACTCTTATTTTTTTTATACATCTCCCTCTTAGATGACAGACTTAGGATGTCCTTAGGCAAGCTATCAAATATTGCAGGAACATAATAGTTTCACTGTTTTTTTTCCGTAGTTTGTATATAGTTTTGGGATTGCATAGGTTTCTGTGTGCGGGAGTATTTTTATCCTGTTGGGTATTTCTTTGAACTCCTTCGAAAAATAATGGCTGGTTAAAACGACAAATTTAAAAACATTTTCAAACGATAATAGTCCGACTGCATTCTTTCTATCCTTGGTTTCCTTCAGTTCATGTTTTGACCCATATACTATATTACTAACACATCTATTAATGATACTATCAATTTTTTGTTGCATGTATTTAGGACATGTTCCATATATAGTAATTCCGTAACGTATCACAGATTCCCCTAATGATAGGTACACCTCACGCCTCAGATTGACGTCACATCCACTTTTAAGTCTATATAAATATGCAGAAACAACGCGAAGTTTTTGTATGACATGATCAATGTGATAGCTCCATAAAACGTTTTCGTCGAAACGAATGACGGGTAATACGTGAAAACAAACCCAAAGGTCGCAAGCAAGAACTAATCAGATTTGACACATGATTTATAAAACTAAGGGATGAATCAATATACACTCCTAAGTCACGTACGCAATATTCGCGTCGTAATGGTTGATTTTCCAGTTTATACAAAAAATCAAGCGTACACTTTTTCCTTGATAAGGAGAAAACATGTTTTTTCAGCATTTAGGCGTAATTTATTTTGAAGGCACCATGATGGGAATAGCAGTAATATCCTCCTGTAGCAGAACACAATCGACATGTGATTTTATTTGTTTGAAGATCTTAATGTCATCAGCGAACTGCAGCAGATTTGAATGTTTTACGCAAAGACAGACGTCGTTGGCAAAAATATTGAACAGCAAGGGTCATTGAATAGAACCCTGAGAAGCGCCGGATGATATGTATGTTCTAGACAACACACGGCTAACACGAACGTTGTTAATGCGCCCGGTCAGGTATCACTCGAACCACAAGCATAACGGCAAACACACTCCCTATTCCGATAACATGTGCACTAATAGGTCATGTGCACAAGGTAAAAGGCTTTACTCCAGTCAAAATAAATGGCGTCCACCTGGTCATGATTGGCAAGAATGGGGCCAACGTGACTGAAAGACTCAACTAAACCAGTTTCAACACTTCTTGATTTATAAAAAGGGTTACGGTTCATTTAATATTTCTTTGAAATGAATAAAAAGGGGTACTTCTACCACAATCTCATAGAGTTTCGAGAATGTGGTTAGTAAGGAAACGGGTCTATAATTTCTAACATCTGCAGAGTCCTCTGATTTGAAAATAGGCACCAAAATGGCTGACTTCCACTTTTCATGGAAGATACAGTTTTGAATAGACAAGCTAAAAAGGTAGGTCAAAACCGGCACAAACGCATCCGAGCCTCCTTTAAAGGGATGGTGAACCGAAATTTGGATTTTAAAAAAACAATGCAGGAGATGTAGGCGGGACGGTACAATCCCTACAACACTACTCGCAAGGCGATATCTCGAAAGGACGGTCGTATATTCCGAAAAAGAGGTCGAGATTGAACCAGGCCGACGAGGCGCGTGACGTCAAGATACCGTGTTTCCTCCTCTCTGCTTCGCTCCCTCAAGGTCACGAGGCGGAGAAGACGCGAGTCCGTTCCCTCTCCTTCTCAGAGAAACATGACGCCATCATTCCTGCCAAATGCGCCTCCTTTTTTGAAAAATACGGTCATCCGTCCGAGATATCGCTGTATGAGTGACGTTTTGGTGTATGTAGCATCCCGTTGCACGCTTTTGCCGCATGTTTTGGGAAATCCAAATTTCGGTTCAGCATCCCATTAACAATGAACGCTGGTTCGCTATCGGAACCCGATGAAAGCCTAAGTTTCAAACGTCTAATACAATCATGCACTACAGATTGATCGACGCTATACGAGGCGAGAACACTATCAGTTTCCGCAACAACATGATTAAGTGCTTGTGGTTCTGATATCGCAGATTGCATATCATGCAAAAATACAGTTAAGAAGTATGACGAAAACATTTCGCCGACAACCCGGGGTCAGAATGAAAACCGGAATCATTTGACAACGTAACGGACTTCGCTTCTATGACCAA